CCATCTCCCTCCGTCAAAGGGACAAATCCTTCACATAGGTGACATGTGTGCAAGAGTTGGGAAGTTTGTCCAAGAATGTTCAAGAACCCATACATTGGGACATGTCCTATGTTGTGGCCAGTCCTGGTAGGGGGGCCTCAAAAGGGGAGGACGCCTTGGCCTTGGCCTTTGAGAAGTGTACTTAACAGATGAAACTAAGAGTCACAGAGAAAGCAAGCAGCAGAGAAGGGGGGAAACATGCATGAGCTCCACAGTCCATTTCAGCTCAGCAGAAAGCTGGACGAGGATCTCCTGGGGCGCCGTTGACACAGATGACGCTTTTGAGGCCACCGCCCGGTTGTCCATTTTGTACCCGGGCCAGCGGCCCCAAGAGGAAGTGGGAGTTGTTGCTGAAATCCATGCTGCTCCCCTCAGCAGCCATGCACAGGGGAATGGGCTTCACACACCAGAGTCTTCCTCCTTCCACAAACATCCGCAGCGCAGTACCTGCATTTGAACAACCCCTTCCAGATATGCATGACAGCCCTTGCAGGTTCCCAAAGGGCCTGGCTCTGCTGACGGAAAGCAAGAGGCCAGTGGGGAGAATTGCCTGATGGGACTCCGAGCGCACAGAGCAAAGATAAAAATGGGGTGCATTGAAGGATTTGGAACTACAGAATGAGCAAGTGAACTTAACAGGCAAGAGAGGGGCCCCATAGTGTTAAAATATTTAACTCACATGCTACCTCTTTGACTCCTTGGAGCCCTGGTGGCATTGTGGGTACGAGTTGGGCTACCATCTGCAAGGTTAGCAGTTCAAAACCATCAGTGCCTCTGTGGGAACTAGACCAGACTTTCTACTCTCATAAGAGTGACAGTCTAAGAAACTCACAGGGCGGTCCTATCCTGTCCCGTGGAGTCGCTACGAGTTGGCAGTGACTCCATGGCAGTGAGTTTGGTTTTGAATTTTCTTCGTAACCTTAAGAAAAAACAAACAAAAAAGCCATGCAGAGAGGAAATATCCCCGTATCACAGCCTAGAGAACCATTTGGAAAGGCTGCGCTACTAAGTGAAAACCGTGGCAAGCAAGTAGCAGGAGCTGTGATGCACCCCCAGGTCTATTTGCTCCATCAGCACAGAGCTCTCTATTCCAGGGCTGATGGGAGTTACTCTGCTTTTTATCTCAAATGCTGTAAAAATCGCATTGTGACCCTGTCTGTGACCTGTAGAACCACAGAAGGGTCAATTTCAAATTGCTCAGTATACTGCTCACTCGACCCTTCAGAAGACTTGTTGATTGGACTAAGCAGCTTGTGGAGGTTCTGAACACCTGGGCAGGGGGGGTGGGGGTGGCAGGCAGCAGGAAGAGCAACCGGCCAGCTGTCCTGCTCTCTGGTCCCTCACAAACACCCGGTTCTGGGGCACAGTGGTCAGGTGGCACTGGGTGGCCCTCTCCACCTCTATAGGCTTTGACTTCTCCATCTCCAAGATGGCGGAGCTGGCCAATGCGTCTAACTCTGAAACGACGCTTTTAATACCGCCCTTCAACGGAATGACTGTTCTGTAAACTCGGGCAAGATTATCGAGCCATTCTATTTTGTACTTCATCGTTTATTTTAAAGGTCCTCTTTTGTCATTCCTTGAATGGAAATGCCATTTCATCTTCCCCAGCAATTCAAATGCTACTTGTTTTTCAAGACTTGCTTTCCGTTCGATTTCTTCCAGGAGCCTTTTCTGTCTCTTCAATTACCTTAAAGAGTCACCAAATGCATCTCTCAAGTGATTTTTGTACTTAAGAGTGCGCGCCCGCCCACTAGCGTTTAATTATATACTGTGTGCTAATATCTCACATTTGCCGTCTTGTATTCAATTTGATTTTGAATGCCTTATTCTACCTTTGCATTGCCAATAGCACCTGAGCAGAGCCTGCCTGGCACTGCACGTGATACCAGGTTGCGAAATCACTATGGGCATCAGGGTTAGAGGGGACACGGCGACATCCTGAGACACAGAGGTGACGCAAGCCAGCTTGTTCAAAGCAAAAGGACGTGAAACATTTGCTGATGCCGAGCAGAGGCTCCAGCTTTCAGTCTGCATTCGACCTCAACATAGAGAAAACAAAAGTCTTTGCAACTGAGCCAGGAGCAGCATTATCATAAACGGAGGAAATGCTGAAATTATCAAGGATTTCCTTTGACTTGGATCCACATTCAATGCCCCGACGTCAGTACGTAAAACAACGAACTGCACTGGGAAAATCTGCTGCAGAAGACCCTGCTACGGGGTTAAAAAGCTATGATGCCATCTGGACAGCTAAGGCAGCCATGACCCAAGCCCTGGTATTTTCAACTGCCTCAGAGGTATATGAAGGGTGGACAATGAAAATGTAAGACCAAAGAAGAAGCGCCACGCCTGAATTAGATGGCAGTAAAGTGTACTGCCAACTGAACTGCCAAACCGGTGTTGGAGGAAAAAGAGCCCGAACGCTTCTGAAAAGCAAGGGGGGCGGGGGGGGGGGGGGGGGGGGGGGTGAGAGTGCCCCTCACTTCCGGTGGACGTGCTATCAGAGTGAGCAGTCCCTGGGCCAGGAGCTGGGGCTTGGTAACGTAGGCAGGCAGGTAAAAAGAGGCAGGCCTTCGACAAGGTGGGCTGACAATAGTGGCTGGCGTACAGACTTGTGAGGACGGCCCGTCGATTGCTCAGGTTTGTCGAGGTGATGGTGAACTCCAGGGAAACAACGCACACCTAGGCCCCGAAGAGAGCATTTCTCTAACCTGGCATGTGTGCCCTGCCCATCACGGGCCCTGGGAGCCTTCCTGAGTACAAAGGTGCCGAGGGCGAGGAGAATGACCCTGGTGTAGACAGCGTCTTTTCAAAAGTGAGACACGGAGGTCTTCAAAAGGACCGCCACCTTTCCAGAACGACTCCACGGAATAACGGAACCCAAACCTACGGCTGTCGGCCAGGTCCACTCCATCCCACAGCGACGCCATCGTACAGAAGAGCCCAGAGCATCTCCATGGCTGCCATCTTTATGGAAGCCAAGAGTCACTTTGTTCTCCAGGGAGCAGCTGGGGGATTTGAACTGCCCACCTTCCGGTTAGCAGCTGAGCACTCCATCACTGCACCACCAAGGCTCCTTAAAGGCACACAACCCACAGGGGAAAATGGCTCAAGGCAGGGGTTAAAAATTACTTGGACTCCATTTTTCTGCGGCCATCACCAGAATACTGGGATCATCTTGCGAACGTTCTAGGCTCTGTCTTCTTCAGCAGAGTGGAGGGCATGGCTCCTCCATTGAAACTCAGACACCAACTTTTCAGCACAGCTAGGCTGGGCCCTTTGCTATGTCAAGCAGCTTAGAGAAGGGTTGCAGGTGAAGCTTTGAAACGGATAAACGTGGCTGACCAATTAATACCAGTCAGGTGACTCCAACTCCACCACTGACCCACTGCACCTGCTGTAGTGGGAATAGGGGACTCGCCACACACTAAATCCGTTGGTGGGTTCCTATCAAACCCCGTGTGGCTTTCAGCATCCAGATGTCTCCCCAACTTCTGAGGAGCGGCCAATGACACCACCAGCCCCACCCTCCTCTGCAGGCAGCGCCGCGCTCTCTGGTTTCTAAGACATACCTCAACGTTAACCACAAGGAAGTCAAAGACCTTAGCTCAGCCCTTTGGTCCCGGGTCCTGCTTTGTTCTTGCTAGTCCTCTTCCTTCCTTCCTTACGCATGTGACTGTGTAGGGGGCGGCACATTCCACCCACCACCCCATCACTGCGTTCTTTCCTACTGAGCCCCAAAGAAGCCTCTGACCGCCAACAAAGAACCCCCAAATGCATTAACATGGTCACCCGTGGACTTTAGTGTGAGGACATGCCTACTGACAAGGCTTCTCGGATGTCCTTTACCTACCACTCACAGGCATCGCCTGTGCCTGAACTACCAACACCGGTGTCTCACCTTGGGATGCCACCTTGTACACCTGACCCCTGAAGCTCTTCCCAGGACCGCCGAGCTGAGCTGATGTGCAGGCCGTGCTCCATCCCATCCCCGCAGGTGGGTTTTAAGCCTCGCCCCGCCCAGAAGCAAGCAAGCCAAGCCTGGCGAGGCAATGGCTAGTCCAAAAGCACAGCCTGGTTCCCGATGGCATGACACTGGTGAGGGAGCCCCCATGCCCACCGTAGACACAGCAAAATGGTCATCACATGGACTCCCTGTCAGGAAGCAGCACTTTCAGTAACAAAGGCAGGCTGTTTCCTCTAACTTCAAGGTACACATGAAGACTACAAGCACTAGCTTCCAGTGGGCCCAGAGCCTCGCTTTGCTTCTTAGGACCCTAGACACATTTCTGCATGACCGCCTCTCCTAGGGAGCTTTCCAACCGGCACAGAGCCAAGTAAAGTAAGGTTGTCGGGACCTTCCACAGTAGAAGAGAAATACATCAGTTTAAATTAAATCCACTGCTAACATGGTCGGCATTTCCTGCTTTGTCAAATGGCTAATTGGATGCCGGCTTGCTTTCAAAGAAGTGTCTGGCTTGCTCCAGCTCGCTGCTCGCGAAGGCTTTGGCTTCATAGGGCCACGTTATTGAAAACGTTTACCCTGAGAGCATTTCTCGGCACACTTACTGCCCAAACACAACGTCTCCACATACTTCACAGAGTAATTCTAAACCCCCTACTTTATAAGCATTGGAAAGGAAAACAACAACAAAGACGGTCAACAACTTCCACGAACTCCAACGATTTATTCCACCACTAGAAGCGTAAAGCAGAGGGAGTCAGGAACCTCTTTCCAACCCTCACTGAAAACCAAGAAAAGTTTAAAAATCATCAGTGTTGAGATCTGAATAAATAGTTTCCATATGTACCAAGATCACTCAGCAACACCCCCCCCCCTCCCACTATATCACAAAGCAAATATAATCATGGATCTCAATCCCACAAGAACCCTCATGCTACCTCAAAAGAGGCCTTAGGCCACGCAACACGGAGAGTGAAATTTCGAAAAGGGTTACCTGGTGCAGGCAGTCGTTCATTCCATTCAGTTGAGATTAAAATTTCTATGACTTTTATGAGGTGTTCAGGATTATCAGCACTTTAAAAAAAGAAAAAAGAGTGGGAGAGAAAGATGATTAGCAATCTTCTCCCTAAACACAAACTAATTTTCACCGACAAGCCTTCCAAGGGAAGGTGTACAAGACAAAATCCACACGTAGCTTTGAACTTGGATCTTGAGACCAGGTTTAATGATCAATCCATTTCGGGCTCCCCTCGCCACCCCTCAGACACACTGGTCTTCTTTGCCTTACTTACCTGGCTGCTGGGAATCTGAAAAGCATAGGGCTGAAAATTTCGGAGAGTGCTCTTGCATTCAAGAGATTCTTGCTGGCAGTTTGAGAGAGCTTAAAGAAATGTTTGAGCAGATACTGAAGGGTAAGCCAATACTGATGAGGTATGTTAGGCGACCTGATGACCTTCTTCAACAGCTGGATATAGTCTTCGGAGCTTTGTAATTCTGCATGTCGAGAGAGAGAGAACAGAACAAGATAAAAGATGGTCTCTCGGCACCAGTTAATCAACACCTAGAAAATGTATGTTCTTTCGCCTAGCCCCAGGAGGAGCTGTTGAAATGAGGTCCTCCGGAGAAACAGACGATACGTCTGTTTTTCTCATTAGAAAACGCTTTGTAAGAAAGTTAAAAAAAAATTACATCAAGTCAAATGGAAAAGCAAGAATCTCTTGGTAAGAAACCACTGTGCTAGCTGAAAGCCACCCTGCGAGTGTGATTGGCTAACTCGGAGGAGCATCTGGTAAGTAGCACAGGTCTTAACTTTGAAGGTTACCAACCACAGTTTCCTGTCCCCCAGGCACTTAGCTGAGCATGAGCACCCATAACTGTGAATCTTCTCCCCTCCGTACACTTGCCAGGCCCTCGCAAGGAAGACAACCAGATTGCCCTCCCAGCCACTGGGTCCCAATCCCTGAACCTGCCACAGCCCCTGGAACAGCGCGTCCTTCATGGATTCAGTGGACTTTGCTAGTAGCGATAAAAGGTTAACAATTAGCCATTTCAGCATGTAGACACTTGTCCTAAGCAAACGAAAAGCTCGGGTCTTCTATCGATCGTCTCAGAGAGGAGGGAGTACGGGTTGATGGGGGGGAGGGGCGGATGACCACTACTAAGTAGTTCCTTAATCATCTCCCTTTGGGTCGGGAGGGTGACAGAGACTGCAAGCGTGTCCCATGTAAGCGGACGCTCTGTGAGGCTTTCAGCAGGGACAACAAACCTTGGGCTAAAGAAATCATTTCACTGTAAACGGCTACTGGGATGACGGGGCTGGGTAAATCCAGAAGGTAGCGTTTGAAGGCATCGGCTAGAACTTGCACATCGATCACTTCCAAGTCCAGGGATGTGGCATCTATGGAAGAAACATACAAACATTTTCTAAAGCTTCCCCCCCCACCCCCCTTCAGGCATTTTATTGGGCCAGCTTCCTATCTGGTCCTGAATGCTCTACCCAAATATAATATAGGGAGACAAACAGACACGGGGCTTTCGAATGGCTTGTGGGAAGGTGTTACAGTGAACCCTCGCCACTTTGCGCTTCGACTTCCGCGGCTTCACTCTATCGCGGTTTCTGCGTAACAGCACCCACTGCCTACACCCGCTCCTTCAGAGGAAAAAGACGGCGACCCACCTGTAAAGTGCATCCCTTAAGTCATTTCATAGGCTATTGATTACAGTATTTGTAAGAACTATGTATAATAATACTGTATGTGAAATATGTAATACTGTAAGCTAGATGCCATAAATAACAAATGATAATTGTAACGTCCAAAATGTTTTACTGTATTTTCCCTTTTTCGTTTAATAAATTGGGTAATACGAGTGTAATGGTGACTAAAGGGTGTTTTTTCATGTCCTCTATGCTCTAACTATGAAAATATTTGATTTACAAATAAAGAATCATACTTCGCGGAATTTCATTTATCACGGTAGGGTCTAGAACCAATTAACCGCGATAAATGAGGGTTCACTGTATTAAAGATAAGGGAAATTATCCACAAAGTCTTTTCTGTCCCTTGGTTGAGAATTCAAGAGCACTGTTTCTCAGAGGGAGCACCGTTGGTATGTTGGCTGGGGCAACTCCTTGGTGGCACTGCCGGGTAGGTGGTTGGAACAGCTAACCACAAGGTCAGTTGTTCACAGCCACCAAGGGCTCCTCAGGAGAAAGGTGAGGCTGCCTGCTCCCATAGAGGTTTGAATCTTGGAAGTCCTCTATGGGGTCACTGGGCACTGAAATCAACTTGATGGCAGTGCCCTTTTATTTGGGCTTTGGTCGCACATGTTGTTAGCATGTAGTACGCCGGGCTCCCTGCCCGTGATGCCGGGGACAAGACCCCAGACTTTGAGGCAACTCAAGGTAGTGTTGCTAAACATTCTCAAAGCCCATCCAGCAGGGACAGTGGTGTGAGAAGGTGTCTATTAAAGAGTGGGCTAACAGGTGTCTTGGTGAGCTAAGGCTACTAGCCTCAAAAGCAGATAGATGGCTTCAACCAGCAGACATGCCTCTCTCTTAGTTTAGGCCGTGAGAAAATGCTGGCCCCAGGGGCAGGCTTCTTTGTCAGCTCTCGGGAATGGTCCTTGTCATTTTCTGTGGGTTCTGGCACTCCTTAGAGATCTATGTGTGCCTTGGCATCAATCTTTCCCTGGGTCTAGAGGGTTTTCTGCACAGGGACCTGGGTTCAGCCATAATGACTAACTAAGCTAGCACTGAACTTTAGCTATCTCCAGAATAAGTATCTGAAGAAGAATTTCAATGGTTTCAGAATTCCTCACCACCTTTCCCCCAGTGGAAATACGCCTCGAGTACTTGGGATAGAAAGGGGGCATACTGCTAGCCAGGAAGGAAGAATGCTGGGAAGAAATGTCTTGAGGCAGGGATGACCGTGGGCACTTAGACACCCGGACTGGCACAGGCTACGGGGGAAGGGTGCACACTAGTACTGAGAAGGCAAGCTTGAGGACTATCGGTGAACTCAAGTGAATTCACAAATCGCCACCTTTATACCACCGCTTCATTACTGGTGGCGTAAGAACTGGTCGGGAAGGAATTGCTACGGATTGAATTGTTTCTCTTCAAAATGTGTCAGAAATCCATCTAGGCCCATGGCTGCAATCCCAGACAAGCACCTTGGTCACAAAACCCCTTCAGTAGCTGTCACGGTTCTGTTGTATCTTCTCTCTCGACTCAGTCGCTGTAAAGCCGACTTCACAGCCAAGGGTTAGAGATACTAGTGGTGGGGTTGCTGTTGGTAGTCATGTAAATTGTGATTATAAATAAACATGCAAGTGTTTTAGGTTTTCCTTGTTCTGTTAGTGGGACCACATTAGCGGAAGGGTGCGTCTTCAATCGATCTCTTCGGCAATATAAAGGAGCACATTGAATAAGTAGCCGGGAGAAGAGAGATGCTATGCTCCGTGAACACTGTCTGACGGCTGAGGCACAGAGGCTGAGGAGAGACACAGACTTCCTCCTGCAGAGCCAACAGAGAGAGGGAACTGCCTTCCGCCACCCCTGTCTTCGGACTTCCAGTCCCTAAAGTGGGAGACGGTAGGTTTCTGCTTGTTACCATAGATACCACTATTATGACAGCTCTGTGACGGCAGCACTAGCTCACTAGGGCAGGAGTGACGTTGGATGAGGAGATACCAGCTTTTGTCATCTGGAATCAAGTGGCAGGGTCTGAATGCTACGTAAGAAAGGTACGAGGCATCAACAAGAATGAAAAGAACTTGGTGACTGGTCTGGTGGGCAGTCCAGAAAGAACGAGGAGCAATGAGAGCGGACGCTGAGACGTCAAAGCATGAATGAGAAGGATGTGGTACTGAGTCGGTGATAACATGCAGTGACCCCACTGACAGAGCCCACGTGCTCCTTTGGGTTTCCAAGATTTTCGATCTTCACAGCAGCAGACAACCTCATCTCTCTGCTGAGGAGTGGCTTGTGCATTTGAACTGCCAACCTGTGGTTAACAGCTCCTTCCAGGTAGAGAAGGACGCTACAAAAATCCCCTCGACGCACCGTTATCATAAGCCAACGAGCTTCACCAGCTAGGCAAAGTTTATGAAAGATAATCACTTGCACAACTCCACAAATGCTCTGAGAAAACCCACTTTGGTACAAGAATGGGTAGATGACTTTGAGGAAGAGACTGGTTAAGGGTCACAAGGCAGGGAGTGATGGGCTTACCCGTCCTACGAAGAACTAACCAGAGAGATAGCCCATGTTACCAAGGGTGGGAAGGGCAGGACAAAGACTCCACTTAACAGTAATCCAACTTCTAGTGTTCGGATCAAAGACAGTCTGTGTGTGCGTGATAGGAACACTGTAGCCACCGATTATTTGACAAGCTCTCGTCCCTCGGAGACTTCCTGTGATCATCGGCGTGCTCAGCAAATTGATGTTACGTTACTGAATTAAAAGAAAAAATCTAAGCCATTTGCTATCCAGTGGATTCGAACTCCTGGCGCTGCCATATGTTTCTGAGAAGAACTGTGCTCCACAAGGTGAACACGTTCGTGGAGGCCCCTGGGCAGAGACAACCACCAAGCGGGTGGTTGCGCCAAGTGCGTCGAGGTTTGCACCACCCAGGGATTCCTGACTGAGAAACATTAAGTGGCTGCAAATGGCACCCGGTCCTCCCTCAAACGGAGTTTCTGTTGCCTCCATTGAACTCTTGGCTGCCAGGCTGCCAGTCTGGGGACCCGATGAGATCCGTCTCACTTCCAGACGAGGGCTACCTGAAAGCAGAGCCTGGGGGCTCCTCCCGTCCCCCTGTGTGCTCCCTCAACACTCACTGCCATCGAGGGAATGCTAACCCTGTAAGGCAGGGAAGAACTGCCCCTTGGGGTTTCTGAGGCTGTGGCTGCTTGCAGGAGGAGAAAGCCTGGTCTTCCTCCCCAGGATCACTGGAGGTTTCTAACTGCAGACCTTGTGGTTAGCAGCCCAAAGCCTAACGGGTACGTCATCAGGCGGCAGGAGCCGCAGAGTACTGCATGTAAAACAGGCTTGTTTATTGTTCACGGTTGGAGCAGTTGCCCATTGAGGCCCTCTCTAGCCCTGGAGACACGGCGGGCAGTCTTTATAGCTTTTGAATAAAGCCGCAAAAGGCTTCATTCCTTTCGGTTTTAAAGCTTCGCATCCTTTGGACATTTCATCAGAAGAGGCCAGTCCTTAGAGAAGGCCATCATGCTTGGGAAAGTGGAGGGGCAGCAAGGAGGAGAAGACCCCCTTGGCCAAAAGGGTAGACGCAGTCACTGCCTCAATGGGCTCAAACATCAGCACGACCTTGAAGGTGGTGCGGGACCGGGCGGCCATGCACTCTGTTGTGCATAGATAGGGTTGCTGTGTATTGGACGTGACTCGGTGGCACCTACCCACCACAACTGCCTCAGTCTCCTCATCTGTAGGAAATCTACCTACCACGTACCTCCCACAGCTAGGCACTCCTGTCAGGCGGTGACTTTCAAACTCTGCCAAGTCAGCGCTACAGATCCTCTAAGCCTGGTTTCAGGTGAGTGTATTCCACCCCGTTTTTCACTCAATCTCCTTGTAATCCAGAAGGAAGATGCCACCCCAACTTGTCAGTGGTTCCCAGCAACCACCTTTCCCTGGGGACATCAGGCAATGTCTGGGGACTCTTCCGATGGTCATGCCTGAGGGAGGGGTATATGACTGGCATCTAGTGGGCGGGGGCCACAACCCTTGCCAGACACTCAATAACACGCAGGACACCAAATAACACTCCACACCAAGAAGGTATTCAACCTGCAGCGTCAAACAGGCCAAGGCTGCGAGAGCTTCATCAGTCGAGAGAAACAGTAATACTGCTTTTAAAGTATGTGGAGGAAACTCCAGCCACTGGAACTCAAAGGCTGCAAGAAGCAATTATTTTGGGGGTAACATAGTAGAAAGAAAATATCAAAGCCTTTTGGATTCAGGCCAATTGGGACAGAAGTCAGAGCTATGTCACTTCCAAACCCAAACCAAACCCAGGGCTTGGGGGCCCTGCTGACTCACGGGAACCCTACAGAATAGACTAGCACGACCCACAGGGCTTCCAAGGCTGCAGCCTGTAGAGAAGCCACATCTCTCATTGCAGGGGTCACTGGGATCAAAGAGCCAATGTTTTGGTTGGCAGCTGGGCACTTTAACCTCTGTGTCACCTGGGCTCCTCCTCTCTGCTGTGTAACAGCTGGAAGGTGGTGGTTCTGTATTTGAGGTCGGTTCCTGTACTGGTGGTTTAATATGAAATGACAGGAACCTAACCTGAGTCGGCACCAACTCGATGCCAGTGAACGCAACATAGGGTCAGGAAACCTGGCAGTATAACCACAAGGTCAGCAGTTTGAACCTGGCCACCAGCCACTCTGAGAGAGGGAGGGGAGGCTCCCTGCTCCGCAAAGATTTACAGTCTCAGAAAACCAAAGGGGCAGTTCTACTCTGTCCTGTTGGGTCAAGGCGAGCCAGAAACGACTGGACGACAGTGAGGTTGAGTTAATAAAAGTGGGCTGTCTCTCCCCCTTGTCCTTTGCTCACAATTCACCTGATTGGCTGAAAGTCCTGATCTCCCAGCTTCCTCCAGGGCCTGACATAGTCTTCTGCAGGGAAAGTTCCTGGAGTTGAAAAGCATCTTCCAGGATCTACTGACTCCCAAGTTGGGACAATGACAATGTTAGATTTTTTTTTTTTCAATTTAGGTATCTATTTTAGGCCAATAAACTCATTTTTTATAGTACAGACTCCAATTGCAACCCATTTGCTATGTCTCTAGCTCTCAATGGGGCAGGGAAGCCGCTGTCAAGACACCTCCGCGGACAAGCTGTTGATGTGAGTTTGGGTTCTTTACCTCATCGCCCTGGTGGTGTGAAGCGAGCTATGTACGTTTAGCCAAACTGCATCACACTGTTGTTGGTCATGTTATGAGGCCTAACCACGATTTCTCAAATAAGTTCCATTTCAAAGGTTTCTGATGTCTAAACATTTCCTGTGTCTGTTAAGATCACCAAACACCTAACATGTCTCTATCTTTTAATTGGCTAAGGATAGTACTTCCTGAACACTGCTTAGAAACACAAAAAAACAAAGCTTTTTGCCTTGAGCTTTCTATCCGCTCTGTGGGCAGGATAGGAGACAGGAGGGCAAAAAGGAGATGCCCCAGGAGGAAGATTGGACTCCATGCATCGAGGAAAATGGCAAAGTTCTTTATAAACAATGTATAGATTCAGTCAGGTTCGGGCATTTGCTCTGGGCCTTTCAAGCAAAATGATTCACTGATAAAGGTCTAGGCTCCTTTCTTCTCTGAGATATTTTTTCCTAGAAGTTTTCATAACTGCCTCCAAAATTTATAGGTGCATTTCAAATTCTCATGTACTAAATATGTGTGGGCACTCTCACTATCACGCTATACTCCTGAAGGGGCTTCTTCCAGCTGGGTTCCCTCTGTGGCGCAACCCTCCGAATTTATTTTAACTGATGGGAGGCAGGCAATTAGGTTTCAAAGGAAAAAAAAAAAAGAAGAACAAAGAAAATATTTGAGAGGGGGAGCCTGAGCGGTGTAGTGCTGCTAAATGCAAGGTCACCAGTTCAAAACCACCAGACACTGCTACAGGAAGACGAAGCTTTCCCCTCTTATAAAGGGTTACAGCCTTGGGCACCTGCAGGGGCAGTACGGGCAGTGCCACTGTGTCCTACAGGGTTTCTGTGAGTGGGAAGCGAGTGAGAGGGCATGATACTGAAAAAGGAACCCGGGACAACAGGAAGGGCACCGGGAGGGGCGAAGAGGGGAAGGGTGAAGGAGAGACAGAATGTGTCAGAAGAGACCTATGTTAGATTAGAAGTGGTCTTGAATTGAGCCAAATGAATCCGCTGTTGCCAACGTTAGTGTCAAGGAAAAGAGCACAGATACTGTGAACAGACACAGCCCAGATAGGGGCTTCTCCAGTGATCTGTGCAGGACGCAAGGTCTCGGCACTGTGATAGCTGGCAGAAGTCTGCACTGGTATGCACTGGCCAAGGGAACTAGTTCATGTTAGAATCTAGGATGTTGAATGGATTAACAGGTTCAGGGGAGGGTGGGTGGGTGGTGCGTGCGTGCGTGTGTAGGGCAAAAGCACTGTCTCTCTCATTTGTACTTCTAGCCCCACCATGATACTCACCACCATCAAGAAGCTGGCGTAATTCGGCCGAGCTGCTGGAGCTCTGTGTCCTATACAGAGTTGAACATTCCAGACCTAGGATACAAAACAGACTGTGTATGCAAAACACAGTTCTCTGGAGAACCTGTGCGCCTGCTGCCAGCTTTCCATCCAGTGTCTATTCTAGAAGCGTACTAAATATTGCTGGACGTCAAGTTCGACTATTAATCTTCGCTGGCGTGTTAATGATATTGGCCAAATCCTCTGAGCACCGAGAAGCAGATTAATTATATATTTATTAAATTATGGAACATGCCATTACGTTACCAAACCGGGAGTACATGCTAGTATCAAGCAAGAAATCACAGACAAAGATGATTTCCCCACCCCCGGCCCCCACTGGTCTACCCCTCAAAGAGCCCAGCTATCCACAGCAGCCAATAAGAGGCCTACCTCATGGGCAGCCCAAAAGACAAACAGAGACTTTCACACCCAAGACCCCAGGGTATGGCCAGGTCAGTGAGGGGTGCGGACCGGCAGGGGTCTGATTACCTTTCTTTTCAATGGCTTCCACTAGCTTGATGAGAAGAGGGGGCGCGATGTCGGGAGGGGCGAACTGCTCCGCGAGATCCGGAAGCGTCCAAGCTGCAGACAAAGAGGGTCCCTCGGTTAGGTGGGTTCCACTGGGGAGAACGTGACGCACACTCAGATGGATTGCGTTCGATCTGACAGGAGCAAATGCGGAACCAAGCACAAGCCCGTCCCCCACCCCCATCCCCAGGGTCTTGGCCCGCTGATTTAGAAGGCTCTTCCCACACCGTGAGGGATTTAGAGGCGGAAGGGCCAGGCTTGCTTCTCCTCCTCAAGCCCATTCTCATCACATCCGCCATGGAAACGGAGCAGCCGCGGCAGCGCAACCCACCGCTGTCAAGTTGATGCTTACTGACAGCAACCCCAGAGTTTGTACGTCTCTGCAGCCATTTCTTGCTCCTGGGGAATGGCTAGTGGGATTGAACCACCCATTTTCCTGTTAGCACTGCAATTTCCCGTTAGCACTGCAAGTTACCCCTACACCACCAGGGCTGAGCCCTTATTGAGAATCTTCCAGAATCCCCTGCCCACGTGGCCTTGATGGCCTCTTCCCAGGTCCATCCTCGCCAGGGGTCAGAGGGTTAGGGGGTTGAGATAGTTTATTGTGCCAGCCTGGCCGATAGACACAAGTGGAATTAACTGAAGGGCAGAGAGATAAATGGCTTGGTGAGCCTCGCCTTTCTTGTCTCTTGCTCTTTGATCATCGGACCTGTGTGCGGCTGCCTTGCTTGTTCTGTGCCTCAATTTAAAGGCTATACTACCTGTGGGACACCTGGCCTGTGGATTGTGTCACTGTAAGTTGAGGTCCCTTTAAGGCACCTCTGGAGCTGGGGACTGGCAGTTGGGACTGGTGGTTAGTTGACAGCTGGTGATCTGCCTTGTGATTGGCTGCTGTGCTGAGATAGCCTCGCTCTCTCTCTAAATAGAGGGAGATCTGGCAGCAGACTAGACTTGAAGGACTGCTAGTCTCTCACAACTCTCTCTCATGGGAGTGAGTTGCACTGAGCCATTTGTAGTGCTTTATAATTTAACTGTTTATTTCTTGTATTATATATTTATCTGTATAGGATTTAACAGTTCATTTCTTGTTATAGCTCGAATTATCTTTATAAATAAATATATTAAATTATCAGCAACTTGGTTTTATCTCTCTAGAGAACCCTGTCTCACACAGGGGTGGAGAAGCTGAGGCTATGGACAGGAAGGGCCGGCTGATGGAATGGACGTTGGATGTACAAGGCCCCTTGTGAAAGGGTAAAGTCATGGACGGTCTAGGACCAGTTCTCCCCAAACCCCCTGCACTGGGACAGAACTCGGAGAAAGACAAGAACTTGAAATTGAAATCTGGCCACTGGGTCATGATGAAGGAAGAACTGTCCAGGTAGGAACACCATCCATAAGGTAACTTCCTTGAACATTACATTATAACTGCACTCTCACTCCCAAGACAACCTTTGCAACTGTTTTCAAGTGCAATTATTTCTCTCGTAATATGCCAGAAGAATGAGCTAAACGTGCTCACCGCAAACGTCTCAAACGCTGAAACATAGGTACGAACACTGTCTTGGTGGAATTACCTACATGTGCCACTCATTTATTCTCTATCGATGAATAACTCTGTGTATTTTTAAAAGTAATCACCAGGCTCTCTTATCTAAGAGTAGTGAGCATGATTTATGAAAGATTAAATGTGTAAGATCTCAGTGGTATTCCTCTTTATCCTAAGCCATACAGGACAGTAAGTAAATTTCTGAGGAAGACTATGTTCCAAACACAAAAATTCAACACAGATTCACAGCCCAAAAAGAAAAAATTACCTGTGCAACAGCAAAGGATCGTGTAACATGTGGACGCACGTGTCCTTGCCCCAAACTCTATGAGCCATTCCAACGGCCAGGATAAAAGAAGAGGCTCAATGATGGCCGAAAACCCTACAGTAGTGCCGCCCTACAGAACATGCTGCAAAAACAAGCTGGCTATAGCATAGCGTACGATTCAGTACAGTCACTACTAGCCCCGTGTGATTACTGAACTCTTGAAATGGAGCTACTGAGGCCAAAGAACCGAATCCTCAGTCTTAGCGGATTTAAGAGGTTCCATGTGACCGTAACCACCCTCCTAGGAAGCCAAGCCCTGGAGTCTGAACAAGGAAGGGCATGTTTTGTCCGCGGCAGGTGGACAAACAAGGGGGTCGGACCCTGGGGTAGACCCCATCAAGTCCATGCTGCCTTCTGCAGACCCCATGGGACTCAGAGTGGAAGTTTTCAGGGGATGGCTTTCCAGAAGGAGGGCACCAGGAATACAACAAAGACCCCAAACAAAGGGCTATAGGAAGATCTCCGGACACAGGCATCCTGACTGGGGGCTAGTCAGCATCTAAATGTAGGCCTGTGATGTGCAGTGCAGAGTCTGGGGGACCTTGTCCTCGGGCAACCTGGCTGCGGCACAGTCTGTATCTCATAACGGTAGAGCAAACGTGCTGTTACCTCGGTAGACACTGTGATGCCTGATAGACAAGCGAGGGCTTTGCCTCTGCATCGTTCCCCACACTCGCTGAGCCTGATGACCACCTGGAAAGCTGGCTAAGGAACAGAGATCTGGGGTGCCGTTCCAAACCCCTGAAGTCAGAGTGTCCAGGGTAGAGGGCAAAAGGATCTGTTTAGGGTGAGGTAAAACACTGTCTTCCTTCCCATTACTGTTGAGTCGATTCCAACTCGGGGTGACCCTGTAAGGCAGGGCGGACCCTCCAGATAGGGGTTTCAAGGTTTCCATGACAGGGCTGCCACAGCGTCCTCCTGTGGAGCAGCTGGTGGGTTCGAACCACCAACCTGTCGATTCGCAGCCGAGCACTTTCACCACTGCACCCTCAGAGCCACCTAAAAAGTCCACCAATGATATCCTGAAATCTTTGCATGTTCAAATGCAAGTGTATTTGGAAAATAAACACCTAAAACACAAATGTCTTTTGAGTTTCATGGAACCTTCCGCATTAAAAATGCAAAGAAAAAAAATTTTTTATATTATAAATAGGGGCACACCCTACCCCCTTTCTGCAGATACACTATAGACCACTTCCCTTTGTCTCCATGGCTTGTCAGCCGACAAAGACCTTCTCCCCCAAATGGTTACTAAACTGGCCAAAGTGAGATATGCTGGTATCCACAGATGCAGTAGAAGGAGAACTCACAGACAAGAGACAGCTTGGAGAAACATGACTTAGGGTTCACTCTGCCCCTTCCCTCAAAACCACACAGGCCCTCATTCTTTTTTTCAAAGTGAAGTAAATCTCTTTAGTCCTGGCTACTGGACATGTTAATTCCTTAATAAAGAAAAGGTGGGTCTCCTCCGGGACTTTCATTATTAACACCATCACGTCTGCAGGCAAATATGAAAGTTCAACTAACGATCATTAAAGATTCCATCTAATTGTGACTGGAATAGACACCCACCAGTTGTCACATCATAGGGTTGGCATTGGTGCCTCAAAAAAAAAAAAAGTTTCCCATCTCTCTCCCTCCTCCCTTGGACTTGAGAAACATAGAAAAAAACCGCAAGTTCCCTTCGTTCCTCTAAGGAGCCTTGGTGGCGCATGGTCTGCACAGGGGGCTGCTCACTGCGAGGTCAGTCTTTGAAGCCACCGGTCACTCCGTAGAGAGAACGGCAGGACTTTCTACTATCGCTCAGACGTCCAGGCTCGGACTTTCTACTCTCGCTCAGACATCCAGGCTCAGACTTTCTACTCTCGCTCAGACGTCCAGGCTC